GATTCCAATCAAATCAGGTTTAAAACGCCATTTGGCAGCAAAAAACATGTGCGAAGCATGAAATTAAAGTGAGCACAATGCAATTATTAAATGTTAATCATTATTAAATTTCGTATGCAACTTAAAATAAGTCTTTTGTAATTTCCTCATAAGTTGTGTGTACTTTCAAAGTCTACTTCTCCTCATGTGAAGGCAGCGCGCTTGGACACCGCGGCGGCTAAAATCATCACGTTGGAAGTTCACCACAGCAATATGGCCAATACGACAAGCGAACCCTGTATGCCGGGCAAAATATTAGCCATAACTGATTTACTTGTGTTTTGATGTTGTTTGTTCTTGGCGCCTTGCGGTGTTTCTTATTTAATGCACTTCACTACAAGGCCTAATTTCTTTGCAATGAGAGACAGCCTGAAAATATCAGAGAGACTTTCTAAAGCCAGTTGGCAATATGGCGAAGGTGTCTCTTCTCTCTACAAGCAAGGCTTTCAATGCTGCTTCGTGTTAAGTTCCACAACATGCGGAAAACATTCTTTGAGTACAGTTTTAACAGCATTTTCAAACTCGATCGTTACGTGCGCTAGCATTTTATATTGTTGTGTTCTGTTCAATGTTTTACACCAGAGCTACGTTTAATTGTTTCGCTGTGACCTTTGAACGTACAGAAATCTGTACACTCGCTCCTGATTGGTTAATATCAGCACACCAGAACGAGAATGGGGCGCACTAGACCAGACTCTCTATTTTGTCTAAAGTGAGTCTGGTACCCAGGGTATGAAATCAGTCACCAGCAACGCTTGCATCAGTTTTGGCACAACCTGCATTTCAGCTCCTTTTCGAAAGTGCGATACAAACCATAATGAAATGCAAGCGAAAACTTTGTGGAGAAACTACGGGGTGGTATGACAATGCTATATCTGATAAGTCTAGTGAGCAAAAATTCTATTGAGCGGCATCTTGCAGCTGAGAGGGTATTGATACCTAAGTGTTTGCATTTGGCCATCTGAACAATTCACTGTATCATTCGTTCCAGCGTGTCAAAATTGTAGACATGTCAAGCAAACATTCCAGCATGTCAACAATGGAACGGTTTCTGGTGGGTCGTTTTCTTTCCAATATATGGTGATTGAGTTACAAAGGACGAATAAATAGGGAAAAAATGAAGGTAAGAGGAGGACCATTGTAAGGAGGGGTTCAGCACAGACATGGCTGCTGTAGACACCTCATGAGAACGAGCCGTTTCAATCAGAAATTTACGGATGAAGCTGAAAGAGAGGCTGAGACTATTTAAAAAGTCATCACATGAGGAAAAAAGAGCATTTTCATTAAGTTTAGGGGTTATCTTTGATTGCTACAAAGAAAAGCATCATCAAACAGCTCACACAATGGCGTCATAGAATGCCAGGATAACAGATGTTCATAAACAAACCCCCGCAAAACATGTCTGGCAGAACAAACGGAATTCTTTTCTTCGCAACCCGATAATGGAAACTGATTTTCACTAATAGTGAAAATCACTTTGGTTTGATGGCAGGAAGACCATACTATTGGTAAGAAGAGATTTTGTTGAGAGAATGCCCCATTCTTTCCGAATACACCAATTTGAATTGTATCTGGGAGTGTCTAGTAATGTTGAGAATGTCTCGATCCGCCCCTGATGTGCCCCTGAAAAATTAAATAGGATCGCTTGAAAACATTCAAAATCTTCATTTGATATGTGCCTTAGCCTATTTAATGTCTACTTTTTTGTTAAAAACCTTTTGGCAACTGATCCGCCATTTTGAAAAAAAGAAAAAATTCAAAAGTCCCAAATAAAATTTGGTTTTACAATGTCTAGCGACCCTAAAACGTTTTCAAAACTTTGACTGGAAAATGTTTCCGATTTTTCTGGTTTGAGACCTGTCTAAGTTTATTACTTACCTTTCTCTTATGAAAACATTAAAACTGCTAAACTTGGCTTCTTTATTTGAAAATGTTGTTGATACTGCAATTGGAAAGGGCGAAATAACGCTCTTGAGTTTCCTAACAGTAGCAGATAAGCCTGAAGTTCCATTTGCATACACTGGATGTCCCATTCAACCCTGTGCCAACCATGAATTGATCCATGTTATTCGCAAGTGTTGTATTTTGCTCATGAACAGACATTTCAATGTTAACAAGACCAACCAGGCTGATGTTCCATAGAACGTGAAAAAAATTTGCTTTTACTATCTCTGACACTATGAATGTTTCTTTAAAAAGACCGTCTTGGAGGAAAATTCCTTTTGGAGAGCAGCCAAAAAGCTCCATCCGAATGCAATGTGTGACATCACCAGCAGTTCTTGTTTTCGGAACTATCCGAATAAAGCGCATTTCTGTCCTTTTAAACCAATGAACAACTGTTTCGCCCAAGGTTGAACAGCCTAGTGGACAAACATTCAAATATTCTCATTACTGACAATAACCTAATCGTTATAAACAAAGTAAAGCCTGGGTTTGTCCAAAAACTGCGCAAAGAACATGAAAATTATTAGGCCTTAATGAATATGAGGAAAGCTCGATGCTTAACCAATGAAATCTAGGGAAAGTTCCAAGGGGATGACGTTATTAGATCAAAGGTCTACTTTGACTGCTTTTGATGGAAATGCCATTACTTTTCATTACGAAAACTGAAAGATTTTGCAAAATAGATATGTAGTAAGATACAGTCTTAAAAAAAAGAGACAACAATCTTTGTCAAATCTTTCATTATTCCGTTGCTGCCTAATCCGTAAGTTGATACTAGTCAGTTAAGGTAAAATTATTCGGCAGCAACATGCCTTGGTATTCCGGCTGGAAGGGCGGAGGGTTGGGGGTTGGGTGGAGGTCGTTGGAGGAAGGGCAGCTTGTTAATATAGTTCCATCTAACCATTGAGGCTATGAATTAATGATAAAAACATGATTTCTTTTTTAAGAATCCTGGTATTAGCTCAAACTCTACAGCTATTTTCGAGTTTTTCTAGTTCTGTTCATATTGGTTAAAGAGGATATGTTGAAACATCTTTGTGTGCTAAAGCTTATCTCATGAGCTTCCCTTTCTTGTGACAAGCTTTAGAACAAGACAACAAGAAACTTTAGAACAAGAAAACAGATCAGAACATGATGCAAATAAGGATTTGAATTGAGCTGAACAGCTAAATTGAATACCTTGAAATTCAAAGTCTGTTGAATTTTCTGAGTAAGTGGACCAGTCAATCCCATTTGTACTGTGCTGTACAAAGAATGAAGTGACAGACATACGCCCCTTCCAGGTACCGTGACCTTGCATCGCTATTCCACTCAGAACCTTGATGGATGCCAGATCGATCTGCAAATAGTCAGTTACTGGACTATAGGCACCTGAACACCAACCGGGTGCAGTTCTGTAAAGACGGGCTTCTTTGGGACCATACGCAGGAGAATTGCCGTAAACAGACTTCGCAGAAAATCTAGAATCAGAAAGGTGGCCAGTCAGCAAACCCATTTCCTCGTCGCATTCATCTGTTCCTTGGTAATCTCGAAACGCGAAGATCTTGGCCACTAGCATTGAGGGTCCTTTGCCAACGAAATGCACAACCTTCTCCCATTCTTTTCTACGATGTCCTGTGTACAGAAGTGCTACCATCGACATTTTCGTTGTGACTGGATAGGTTCTGGCGAACTCAGAAGACACGCCGAACCGCCTCAGTGCTGTTGCCAAACCGGTGTCAAAATTAACAGCATCTCTTACCGCCATTAACAAGAGTTTGTCGTCCGCCAGACCGTTGAGCAATGTTGCGAGTTGAACGCGGTGTGAACTGTAAGCGTACACGTCATACGCATTTGAATATTCTAATATCCCACTTTGGTAGTCAAAGATGGCGACGCTTATCCCTCTGGTCAGGGCGCTAAAATCGTGGCCGTTGACTTCAATGATTGACCGAGCCAATACACAAATTAAGACATCGTCACAAGACTCTGAGAACAGGCTTACCTCATAAATTCCTGAAAAAATGTATTAATTACTTATAATGAATCATAATGTGTAAACGAGGTAAAGCTGTTTAAAGACAGGCTTTTTATTCAGTGTTCTAACTAGTCAACTATAAGAGCTCTTATACTGTGCTCTTGTAGAAAAACTTGATCTACAGCATGTAGCAAACCAGCAGTACTATGGTTTGGTGCAATTTAAGTTCAGCACTTGCCCTGAAATTTAGCACGAACCTTCCTAGAGGCTAGAAAGATCATATCTATGGACTGAGCAAGAACATATCTAAAAAGTTTGGGTGTAGTTGCATCGTGTAATATTTTCTGTTAATGCAATTGATTATACTCATGGATCATTAAGGATTTGCATTTATTACAATGCTGCTTAATGTTACTAAAACCCCAAACAAATGTTACTCAGCCCAGAATTCTTAAAAAGACCTATTAAAGGGGGCCAAAAGGCTGAAAATCCGTGCAAAAATCAGCAAAAAACTGCAATCCGCAATGAAATAAAGTGCAAAGATGCGGTCGCGATTGCAAAACGTGCCGCGGCACAAAACGAGAAATAATCGCTTATAAGTAAATAGAAACATTGCTAGAAGTAACATTATAACAAATTCTTATGGTTTTCAGTCTGTTTAACGATGCGTTGGTCCAAACCTTAGTCGACATCTATCGACAGCATATTTTCTTGGAAACTCATCAACATTCTTAAAGAAGTAAACCATTGCAAATTTACTCCGAAAAACGCAAGACGAATCTTGCTGAAGCCGCAATCTGCAAAAAATCCATTGCAGTGGCGGCGCCAAGAAATTCCAAATGGGATGCACCAGAAAGTAGAGGCATCTGCAAGCAGAAAACTTTTGGCGACCACATTAACTTCAAAATGCCTTCAAAATACGCCTTGCTGTCATTTTCTCACAATCATTTAAAATGTTCTACGTTTGATTAATTTCATTCTTCAAATGGAAATTATTATTTCATGAAGCCCCTTGACCTCGATGTCCTGGGGCAAAACTCTATTCATTTGAAATTAAAGGCAATAGACATGGTTTAAGCCATCTGTCAATTAGCCTATCTGTCAATCAGTATCAGCCAATTAACAAGCGTGTGAGTGTTATCACGCTCACTGATTGGCCAATTTTTGATCGACAGAAGGTTTTGGATACATTAGTATATGTCGATTCATCATCATTCCCAGGCATTGCCAATCCCGTAGGCCGCACGTAGGGATTGGGTCGTGACTGTGAAGCCGAAAACCTATATAACCCCCCCCCCTCTTATCGTGTGTCTTTTTTAGAATTAACTTTTATCCTAAAGAAGTAATGAATAGTCGGCAGATTCTCTTGCCTACTTTTGAATATTTAAAAGAACAACGCATTTCGGTCCCCAGTTTAAAGTTCCCCATTTTGGCAATGAAAGGAAAATCTCAGTTTTTCTCACATCATCTTAGGATTCAATGTACCGTACTGAACCAATGGAAAAGCGACCTAGCCTGTGCAGTTGCCTTTTTAGCTGATTTTGACGGAACGTTACTGAACTACCTCTGCGGCTGACTTACCTTTGGCTAAGTGAAGGTGAAACAAGAATTGATCTTCCTCAGCGCATTCAGTCAGAATGAGGTCAGCCGCTGGCAACGGAGCCGCTCCCCCTAGGAATGGCTTCACACACTGGTGCGATGAAAGGTTCTCCAATGTCGCCTTTACAGTGTGGATGAAGCTGCTTTGGGTTGTATTGCAGTCCGTTGTTAGACGCAGAAATCCGAGGTGGAAATAAACACATTTGCCAGTTCTGTAATGCTTTAAATGCCATTCGCTGTCAAAAACAAAACGGTCGCAGATATGCGTCTTCTGTAGCTTCATGACGTCAAGCGGAGTGTTATAAACCCAACATAGTCCACCAAAATGGCGAATGATGTACAGAGCTTCTGGTATCTGCCAAAACATACTGCTGCCACTCTGGCAATTTCGTGCCAGGACAATCTTCCTGCTTGGAAATGTATCATTTGTGGACTGGAGGCATTTGCCGCTCTTAAGATGCCTGATTATGTGGCTCTGCGCCACGTAGTGGAAGTAAGTGTCGTTGCTCCCGCACAGTTGCGATAGTGACAACATTGCGTTTCCGTCTTCAGATGGAACGACGCACTGATTTGTCGGTACATGCATAAGGAACAAGCCCTTCCACCGAAACTTCTGACTTAGCGTGCTATGAAGGGTTAGAACTTTGCTGTCTTTATCGAAGCTGACTCCCTGTCCATCATGATGGAGCAAATGGAAACTACCATCAATTGACTCTGAAGCTATACAGGGTATTTGCACCAAAATGGCCAATACAAACCAGGTAGATCTTATACAAACTCCTACCATTCTTCAATCTGTAACGATCCAAACGATTGGTTTTCAAAACAGCTTTCTGTTAGTACCTACTGTTTGGCTGCTGTTCGCGAGAACACTACAAGCAACAGGGGCAGCTCATTAAAGTGTTGATCACAATGCTGTTGCGTGGGTTTTGCGGGTACTTGACGGCGCATTGATGTTGGCATTAAACACATTACCTATACATGAGTGAAAAATGTAAACATAAACAATCACACGCATTCATAAATTAATTCATTATTCAAGGAACTTTTCCAAACTTTTTAAAAAGGGCTATAGTCTCACCTGTCAATAAGAGAAAAGATTCTTTCAATAAGGAAAATTATAGACCAATAAGTCTACTAACGACACTTTCAAAGGTATTTATAAATACAATAGAGCTTCAACTTTCTCCATTTCTTGAAGAAAAATTTTCGAAATTCCTATGCGCATATAGAAAACAGTTTGCTTCCCAGCACGCTCTCTTTAGACTAATTGAAGACTGGAAAACAGAACTGGAAAGTAACAAACATATTGGCGCTGTCCTTATGGATTTGTCAAAAGCCTTTGACTTTCTACCAAAAAAACTACTTTTAGCAAAACTATATGCCTATGGTGTAGATTGAAATTCTCTTTTACTTATAGAAAACTACCTGTCTAATAGAAAGCAAAGAGTCAAAGTGAAAGGTCATTACAGCTCCTGGGGTAAACTTGGACAAGGGGTGTCACAGGGATCAACACTTCGACCTCTACTTTTCAATATTTTTCTAAATGATATTTTTTACAGCCTTACTGAAGTGTCTTTATGTAATTTTGCTGATGACAACACGATATCTGTTACTGCAACAAATACTGATGAACTATTGCAACTTATAAAGATTAACACAAGAAAATGTCTTGATTGACTTAAATATAATGAAATGATTGCGAATCCCTTTAAATTTCAAGCTATCACAATCGGCAGCAAAGATAAATGCATAGATGAGTTTGAAATTGACCAAGAATTTGCAATTAAAATAGAGAAAAACGTTGTTTTGCTTGGTGTTCAGATCGATGAGATCTGTAAAAAAGCAACTAAACAGTTAAATTCTTTAAAAATATTGGCAAGATTTATGGGTGACAGAGAAAAAAAGATAATTATAAATTCATTTATACTATGTCACTTCAATTATTGTCCATTGATATGGACGCTATGTGGTGAAGGAAGTCAGGATAAGCTAGAAAAAAGAAACGAGAGGGCATTAAGACTAGCCTATTCAGACTATTCATCTTGGTACCAAGATTTACTTGCTAACTCAAAAGAAACTACCATCCAATCAGTTAGAATTTTAGCGTTCGAAGTTTATAAAACACTTAACAACCTTAATCCTGTTTTCATGAAAGACTATTTTGTACCCACAACAACAGGTCATAACCTTCGACTCAAAAACCCCTTTGACATTCCAAAAGCCAGAACTACCAATAATGGTATCAGATCATTAGGTTTTCAAGGGCCTAAAATCTGGAATTCACTTCTGGAATCAATAAAGACAGCACAAAATACTAGACAATTTAAGAATTCGACCAAAACTTGGTTCCTTGAAAACAAGTGCGCATGTTCGTTTTGCAGTAAATGAACTGGCTTATGCAATCCTTGAAATTGCTTCATGTTAGTCTTAATTAGTGTATATTCACTATTGTAAAAACTAACATTAAATAATCTACAATACAATACAATACTCTTCTCTGAAGGGTGAAACAACAAGCTTTAAGATGTTTTACTCGCTGGTCGTTGGTTAATGATATTTATTTCCATGGAAGGAACCACTTTGTCAACCTAATTGCATCTGAACGCAAACATAATTCTTCTGCATGTATAATTCAACGATATACAGGTTGATTGTTCGAAAATGGCAGAAAATGAATATTCGGCCACCACGACCTTGTGTTTCTTCTGGTTTGTTAACAAATTTCATCATAGGCAGTCTAAAGGATGTTTAAAAATGACACTTCACTTATGCGGACAAAAATAAATTTGTTTTATGGAATAAAAACGAATATGAATTCTTCCACAAGATTGGTGTTGTTTTTACTTGCTACGTTTCATTTTGTGAGATGACACCCGCTATGCTTGTAATTGTTGTATCTCGCGTTAGTGATTAACTAACGAAATCTCAAATTAAAGCTATATTAATCGAGATTTCAGTCGGAAAAAATTTTGCAACTGTCATATGGGACACAGAACCAACAAACAGAAAACACAAAGGGGTTAGAAACAATGCTTCTTTGTGGTTTGCAAATTTGATAGCACACTACACACTAAATTGCAAATTTGATAGCACAGGTTTATTATTAAATGATGATACATATATTATTAAAATCTACGATTATTCTGCAAAATGACACAAGCAATTGTAAACAGCTGAGTCCATCAAGTCGGACTTTCAAAGGGTGCAAGGAAATGGTCTGATTTGAAGAAGGAAAATCATGGAATGGAAAATCAGTCCAACTTAACACGAAGGTAGAGTTGTACGGGGTATACATAACGGAATTCAACTCTATCAACATTTATAATCAGGTTTTGGAGGTTGTTGATCGTTGGGAAGATTCTAATGATAGGGATTCGCAACAAATCCTTGACTTTTTAAAAATATAAATGATAACTTTTAAACTAATTTGTTTTATTTCGGACTCCAGTTCTGTTTAAGATCTTAGACGTCGATCATTGTACCAAAGAGCCAGGGAAGAACGCTCCTCCACAGCAAACTGAAGCTCCCTTCACAGCGAACTGTAGACAGTTAAGTGTCGAGTGCTTTAGAAACATGGCTTTTATCTGATAAATAGCTTGTATCTTTGTGCTCATATTTCTACAATGAATTGCTTGACACGCTACAGTAAATTAACTTAGATTTGTGTAGTTTCTTCAAACATTACAGCTCAAAATTGATCATATATATACCGTATTTACTATCAGAGGCAGCGTTGAATACAAAATAAAAGTGTTCAAATGAAAAGGAAAAGAAAAGTGCGATAAAAAAGATAAAGACAGACTTTAAACTGTTTTCAGATTTAAACATGCGTTCTGTGAAAATGTTCACGAAGGATGTTATCACGTTATGGAAGAGTCAAGAAATGTCAATGTCGCTGTCTCCGTCAGAGCCCACGTCTATGGTATGAGAACTTTATTGCCTTCGGATAGAATATGGAAGGAGAAAAGGATAGGATAAAAGAAACTAAAGAAAAAAAGAAAAAGTGGAGGAGCTGCGAGAAAGGAGGAGGAAGTGAATGCCCTCCCGCTCCCATTCTCCGCAGCTCCACCAGTTCTCTTTCCATCTCCCTTCCCAATAGCTTCTGTGGAGGAGAGTGGTTAGTTACCATATAAACTATTTGTTATTTCCTGTTTGATCTGTTTTACAATGAACACCACTTTTTAAGATGCGGCGTTTAAAAGATGGTGGCGTTAATCATAGGGCGGCGTTTATAAGATGGCGGCATTCATTAGGAAATACAGATATTATATATTTCAAAGCATACGTGAAATAGAAGTAAAAATAATAATAAAAATGCTTTAAACTGAACCAGTAAGGAAATGCAGCTGTTTTGCAGGCAGAAATGTGCTGAATATAAACTGTGCGAACCTCTGGTCTTTCAGGATAGCATTTTACTCCTGGAACAAATACTGGAACAAAAACAGTTGAATTCCATGGATCTGAAACCAATTACTGGCTATTAATGTACCCACTCGTGAATGTAATTTTGCATCGTCACGCAGTACTGAGAGCCGAATGGCAATACTTATGCAAACTGAATAAAGACATGCCATAAGGATGTGCCATTGAAAAGTATTGTTAAGGGTGATGTTTGCTCATTTCCCTCCAAAAGGAAAGCTTCACACGTGGACGACTGCAGCCAATCGTGCTCGAGCTTTCCTCAATAAACGTCTTTGTGCATCTTCAAGAAGCTCTACTCCTTCAGTCTGCCCACGAGCAAAGTTGACGAAAATCTATAAAAACGATATATCATATATTGAATCAACAATAAAAATAATTTCTGCTACCAATGCAACAAGAAAATAGATTGCGTAACTTCTAGATACCAACATATATGCTAAACTAATGGGATTGGGATCTATACTGTTGTTTCTCCTGTTTTTTTATGTTGTGAAGTAATGTTGTTTTTTTGGTCTGGCACCAATTTTTTTTTTGTTTTTTTTTTTATTTTTTTTTTTTTTTTTTTTTTTTTTTTTTTTTTTTTTTTTTTTTTTTTTTTTTTTTTTTTTTTTTTTTTTTTTTTTTTTTTTTTTTTTTTTTTTTTTTTTTTTTTTTTTTTTTTTTTTTTTTTTTTTTTTTTTTTTTTTTTTTTTTTTTTTTTTTTTGTTTTTTTTTTTTTTTTTTTTTTTTTTTTTTTTTTTTTTTTTTTTTTTTTTTTTTTTTTTTTTTTTTTTTTTTTTTTTTTTTTTTTTTTTTTTTTTTTTTTTTTTTTTTTTTTTTTTTTTTTTTTTTTTTTTTTTTTTTTTTTTTTTTTTTTTTTTTTTTTTTTTTTTTTTTTTTTTTTTTTTTTTTTTTTTTTTTTTTTTTTTTTTTTTTTTTTTTTTTTTTTTTTTTTTTTTTTTTTTTTTTTTTTTTTTTTTTTTTTTTTTTTTTTTTTTTTTTTTTTTTTTTTTTTTTTTTTTTTTTTTTTTTTTTTTTTTTTTTTTTTTTTTTTTTTTTTTTTTTTTTTTTTTTTTTTTTTTTTTTTTTTTTTTTTTTTTTTTTTTTTTTTTTTTTTTTTTTTTTTTTTTTTTTTTTTTTTTTTTTTTTTTTTTTTTTTTTTTTTTTTTTTTTTTTTTTTTTTTTTTTTTTTTTTTTTTTTTTTTTTTTTTTTTTTTTTTTTTTTTTTTTTTTTTTTTTTTTTTTTTTTTTTTTTTTTTTTTTTTTTTTTTTTTTTTTTTTTTTTTTTTTTTTTTTTTTTTTTTTTTTTTTTTTTTTTTTTTTTTTTTTTTTTTTTTTTTTTTTTTTTTTTTTTTTTTTTTTTTTTTTTTTTTTTTTTTTTTTTTTTTTTTTTTTTTTTTTTTTTTTTTTTTTTTTTTTTTTTTTTTTTTTTTTTTTTTTTTTTTTTTTTTTTTTTTTTTTTTTTTTTTTTTTTTTTTTTTTTTTTTTTTTTTTTTTTTTTTTTTTTTTTTTTTTTTTTTTTTTTTTTTTTTTTTTTTTTTTTTTTTTTTTTTTTTTTTTTTTTTTTTTTTTTTTTTTTTTTTTTTTTTTTTTTTTTTTTTTTTTTTTTTTTTTTTTTTTTTTTTTTTTTTTTTTTTTTTTTTTTTTTTTTTTTTTTTTTTTTTTTTTTTTTTTTTTTTTTTTTTTTTTTTTTTTTTTTTTTTTTTTTTTTTTTTTTTTTTTTTTTTTTTTTTTTTTTTTTTTTTTTTTTTTTTTTTTTTTTTTTTTTTTTTTTTTTTTTTTTTTTTTTTTTTTTTTTTTTTTTTTTTTTTTTTTTTTTTTTTTTTTTTTTTTTTTTTTTTTTTTTTTTTTTTTTTTTTTTTTTTTTTTTTTTTTTTTTTTTTTTTTTTTTTTTTTTTTTTTTTTTTTTTTTTTTTTTTTTTTTTTTTTTTTTTTTTTTTTTTTTTTTTTTTTTTTTTTTTTTTTTTTTTTTTTTTTTTTTTTTTTTTTTTTTTTTTTTTTTTTTTTTTTTTTTTTTTTTTTTTTTTTTTTTTTTTTTTTTTTTTTTTTTTTTTTTTTTTTTTTTTTTTTTTTTTTTTTTTTTTTTTTTTTTTTTTTTTTTTTTTTTTTTTTTTTTTTTTTTTTTTTTTTTTTTTTTTTTTTTTTTTTTTTTTTTTTTTTTTTTTTTTTTTTTTTTTTTTTTTTTTTTTTTTTTTTTTTTTTTTTTTTTTTTTTTTTTTTTTTTTTTTTTTTTTTTTTTTTTTTTTTTTTTTTTTTTTTTTTTTTTTTTTTTTTTTTTTTTTTTTTTTTTTTTTTTTTTTTTTTTTTTTTTTTTTTTTTTTTTTTTTTTTTTTTTTTTTTTTTTTTTTTTTTTTTTTTTTTTTTTTTTTTTTTTTTTTTTTTTTTTTTTTTTTTTTTTTTTTTTTTTTTTTTTTTTTTTTTTTTTTTTTTTTTTTTTTTTTTTTTTTTTTTTTTTTTTTTTTTTTTTTTTTTTTTTTTTTTTTTTTTTTTTTTTTTTTTTTTTTTTTTTTTTTTTTTTTTTTTTTTTTTTTTTTTTTTTTTTTTTTTTTTTTTTTTTTTTTTTTTTTTTTTTTTTTTTTTTTTTTTTTTTTTTTTTTTTTTTTTTTTTTTTTTTTTTTTTTTTTTTTTTTTTTTTTTTTTTTTTTTTTTTTTTTTTTTTTTTTTTTTTTTTTTTTTTTTTTTTTTTTTTTTTTTTTTTTTTTTTTTTTTTTTTTTTTTTTTTTTTTTTTTTTTTTTTTTTTTTTTTTTTTTTTTTTTTTTTTTTTTTTTTTTTTTTTTTTTTTTTTTTTTTTTTTTTTTTTTTTTTTTTTTTTTTTTTTTTTTTTTTTTTTTTTTTTTTTTTTTTTTTTTTTTTTTTTTTTTTTTTTTTTTTTTTTTTTTTTTTTTTTTTTTTTTTTTTTTTTTTTTTTTTTTTTTTTTTTTTTTTTTTTTTTTTTTTTTTTTTTTTTTTTTTTTTTTTTTTTTTTTTTTTTTTTTTTTTTTTTTTTTTTTTTTTTTTTTTTTTTTTTTTTTTTTTTTTTTTTTTTTTTTTTTTTTTTTTTTTTTTTTTTTTTTTTTTTTTTTTTTTTTTTTTTTTTTTTTTTTTTTTTTTTTTTTTTTTTTTTTTTTTTTTTTTTTTTTTTTTTTTTTTTTTTTTTTTTTTTTTTTTTTTTTTTTTTTTTTTTTTTTTTTTTTTTTTTTTTTTTTTTTTTTTTTTTTTTTTTTTTTTTTTTTTTTTTTTTTTTTTTTTTTTTTTTTTTTTTTTTTTTTTTTTTTTTTTTTTTTTTTTTTTTTTTTTTTTTTTTTTTTTTTTTTTTTTTTTTTTTTTTTTTTTTTTTTTTTTTTTTTTTTTTTTTTTTTTTTTTTTTTTTTTTTTTTTTTTTTTTTTTTTTTTTTTTTTTTTTTTTTTTTTTTTTTTTTTTTTTTTTTTTTTTTTTTTTTTTCATGGTGGATTGTTTTTTTTCATTTTTGATGGGTTTTCTTGATTTTTTTTGAGATTTTTCCCTGTTCTTCTGGATTTAATGGATTTTTTCCAGTTTTTTCCGATTTTTCCAAATTTTTCAGGTTTTTTAGGGACTTTTTGGGACTTTAATCATATTTTTCCTATTTTTTGGAATTTTATTGGAATTCTTTCCGCCTTTTCAGGAATTTTTCCAATTTTTACGATTTTTCGGTTTCTTTTTTGGATTCTTTTCGATTTCCCGGGTTATTTTCTAATTTTTTTTGATCTCTCGAAATTTTTGAATATTCTGTGAGATTTTTGGAATTTGTCCTGTTGTTTCGGGAATTTTCGGGATTTGTTCGGATTTTTTTTTGCTTTTTTGGATTTTTGGGATTTGGTTGAATTTTTACGATTTTTAGGGATTTTTTGGTAATTTTTAGAGATTTTTTCTGATTTTGCCGATTCTTGGGATTTTTTTTGGTTTTTTTCTAGTTTTTCTGTTTTTTGAAGATTTTTTTTTTAAGATATTTTGGGATTTCAAGAGATTTTTGATATTTTTCGATAATTTTATGGATTTTAGGGATTTTTTCCGAATTTTTCCGATTTTTCCAATTTTTCGGGATTTTGAGCATTTTTTGGGATTTGACTAGATTTTTCGAGATTTTTTCCAATTTTTTTCCAGTTTTTCTGAATTTTGAAGAGTTTTTTATATTTTCAAGATTTTTCCGGATTTGAGAGATAATTGATATTTTACAGTATTTTTCGTGTTTTAAGGGATTTTTTTCTGATTTTTTTGATTGAAGTTGGCTTGCTAAAAAGAAGTGCTCGTGGATCTAATCAATGAGTCAATGCACAGCATTGTCTGGAAGTTTTGTCCAAAAATTATTTTTTGTGGGAAAAAGACTATGGAAACTGGAGTCGCATTTGCATTATTTCAATTTTCAATGGGTGCATCATATAAAAACATGGTTTTTCAAGTTATGAGAATAGAACCTTGAAAATATTTCGAGGCAAAAAGGATAAGAAAAGCTAAGAGGGCTATGACCACCACTGCAAAAAAGAGGAAAAAAAACTTGAAATTTAAGAAATCACAACGTAGTAAGTATGCGAGCAAGCGAGAAGGAAAAATGTATGAGAGTGAAGGATTTAATGTTTAATCTGATTAATTTTGTAGACATGAACTGTTTTGAAAGTAAATTTATCATTTATATAATTGAAATAATAATGATTGCTCTATAAATAAGTATTTTATATGTTAAAACTGCTTGAAAATGTAAGTTCTCTTAACGTTTTTTGCTTCCAAAACTTTAACTGCGAATTATTCAAGTATGATTTTGAGCCCGCTGACCAAACTAAGTTACCAAGTTTTATAATGAATGTTAATTCAAACTTCTGTAACCTATAAATCGAAATGATCCTTAAATCATGAAAAGTTCAAAAAAGATGCTTGATTTGAGGTTGACATACAGGGATTTTTTCCTTAGGCAACAATCTAAAAAACATTTCAAGGCTGGATCATCCCGATTTTGTATTTTGCATCAATTTTTACGATAAGTATGAAAAAAGTGGAAAATTATGGCTTAGTTAAACTCTCCAGCTCTTAACAAACAATTTGATATAAAGGACAATACTTTTTGATGACGCTGTTAGAAAATCAATGCACACTTAACTTTCGGATTTTCACAAACAATACATCGCTCGTTATCATAGCAAAGATTAATCAAAATATTTTGTAACTTGAATTTTCAAAATCTACAGTATCACTTTCGTCAGAAAGGGGTTTAGGGTTAGGGTTAGGGTTAGTGTTATGGTTAGGATTAGAGTTAGGGTTAGGTTTAGGGTTAGGTTTATGGTTAAGGTTAGGGTTAGGGTCAGGGTCAGGGTCAGGGTCAGGGTTAGGGTTAGGGTTAGGGTTAGGTTTAGAGTTAGAGTTAGGGTTAGGGTTAGGGTTAGGGATAGGGATAAGGTTAGGGCTAGAGTTAGGGTTAGGGTTAGGGATAGGAATA